TAGATATTGTCATTTTTGGGCTTTCCTTTTCGAGTTTCTTCTCAAAGTTTTTAAAACGTGTCTGTTAGAGAGAGGTTTCCACACACTTATAAACAATGTTTCGATCTCTTCTCCAATTGATGTGGGATCTCACAGCCTTAGAATGTTCGATCATTCATCTATATCCATATATCTCTACAAGAATATGCATGTATTGTGACATGGATCAGAAACTGCCACGTTCCATTGATTATCATCCAACGGTAGATGTAGAACCCACATGGCAACCAAAGAGTTCAAAGGGAGCTGGTGCAGGTAGTTGTAGTATGAATTGGTTGCTATAGTGTCCCATCTCTCCATCATATTATTAATATTGAAAACTTTCAACGCCTTACCTGTTCGAAAGGAATAGTGGAGTGATTGGGCGGTGGGAATTTAGAAAGAAAGGAAAAGAAAAAAAAGAAGTATAAAAGGAATATATAAAGGCATATCCAAATGAATGACTAGTTGTAGCTGCTTTGTAAGGTGGCGACAATTTGGAATATGGCTTCAAAACTTGCATTATCTTTCCCCTCCGATGATTGCTGCCCTTTAGGTTTCCCTGTTGGTGGGGATCTTAATTGATGAAAGAAAACTAAGTTTTTGCCTTTTTCTATGTCAAGTCTTGTCTTTATAAAGTAGAATTTGGAGGGCTTACAACTAATTAGGGATAAGTCCCCACAGGTTTGTTTCATTACTGCAAATTATTGTGCATCTAGAAACATCTCTAATAGAAGCTACTCACTTTTTCAAAGGGTCGGCAGGACATAGGAGTCTTAGGTCATGCATGGATTTGTCGAAATCGGTCATGCATGGATTTGTTGAAATCACCTTTGTTAACCCGTTTTCTTCTATTCAAGAAGGTACTTTCAAAAGGTTCATTTTAGTCTATAACTTTTAGTTACTTCATTTTCATTTGGATGAGATTGTATTGGTTGTTTGACTACAATGGACCGTTTGTGTGAGACCCATATTGAAGGGAACGAAGCATTTTTTGTAGAAACATTTCCTTAATAGATGTATTTTAAAAACAGTGAGGTTGACGACGATACGTAACAGGCCAAATGGTATTAGAATTCGATATTAGGTGGTGTGCAAGTGAGGACGTTAGGATTCCAATGAGGTGGATTGTGAGATTTACTTTAGTTGGAAAGAGGATTGAAACATTTATTATAAGGGTGTGAAAACCTTTCCCTAATAAATGCCTTTTAAAAGTTGAGAGGTTAACAACTATACGGAACGAGCCAAAGCAGACAATATCTACTAGCGGTGGGCTTAGGCTTGAGCAAAGTTGTAATTCAACACGGTTTTTTTAGTTCAATTTTTGCTTCTTTTTTAAGATAATCATGAGGCCATATTGGTATTTGGCTATTTGCCTTAGTCTTAAGAAATTGAACCTGTATATATTTTAACATAAATAATCGTATCCTTACATTTTTAAAAATAACACGTCACTGTGTTTATATCGTGTCACATCCAAATATTCAATGTGGCTTTGTCACACTTTGTTGGAATCTCTGTATGGGCAAAAGGAGGTTCTTTTGTCGAGACTTTTTTAGATTTCATACGACGTCGTTTAATAAAATTTAGAAGAAGTTGAGTGGGCCATAAAAAAGGTAAAGCCCATTATCAAAGAAGGCCCATTAATATTTCAATTAAGCCATGGAAAAAGCCCAATTTTATTGACATGCAAGTGACCCTTAAATTATAAACCCTAATAATCCAGTCCCGCCACTCCCTGCCGTGTAAAAGCCTCGTTAGGGTAGGGCAGGTATGCTCCAAACCCTAATTTGACATAACATCTGACGACTTCGATTGTTTTCATTTCTGATTCTTTCTGTTTCATCTTCCCTTTTAAGTATTCTGTACACCTTTTGAGAAGCGACAATGGCGCCGGCGAAGAAGACTGTAAGTGTTACTCTAACGCTGCATAAATGTTGCATTTCCAATTACTTCAGTGATAATGGTTTCGATGATCTGTTGTGTTGTAATTGCAGAAGAAGACTCATGAGAGCATAAACAACAGGCTCGCCCTTGTGATGAAGAGCGGCAAGTACACACTTGGATACAAAACCGTTCTTCGCACTATCCGCAGCTCCAAAGGTCTTCGTCCGTCGTTTTCCATTTCCAAGAAACCTTGTTTATCTGAATTATATTTTATTTCTGTATATATATATATATATATATATTTTTGACACTTTTCTGTTTTTCGACATGTGAAAATTCAGGAAAGCTTATTATTCTATCGAACAACTGCCCGCCTCTGCGTAAATCCGAAATTGAGTACTACGCAATGCTTGCCAAAATTGGGGTTCACCACTATAACGGAAGTAAGTATAGTAGAGCTTAAGCAGGGTTTTTCTGCTTTATTGTATTTTGAAGCTTCATATGCATGATTTCAGATGTATTGGATAGAATTGCTCTCATTGCTTGTATTGCGTTTCGTTTTTCACTTTTGTAGTATATGAAATAACAGACTGTGTTCATCTCAACTCTGTATTGGAGGTTGATTATTGTATATCTGGACAAGAACTTGCTGTGTTTGTAAATGTTGTTTGATAGTATATTTGAGTAACTTGATCGATTACGTAATGGGTGGGTGCTCATAATGGGTTTCCCATGACCGGGATAAACGAATTTGATATTCAATGTGTAGTTCGTCCTTGCTAGTTTCATACATTCTTATTGATTTGCTACCATTGTCTTCTACAGTTGTTTTCACCTTTGGTATATAGCTTATTGAATAAAATAGGTGGGTTGCTTCCATTGGTAGTAATTGGTTCTTCTGACTCATAATATGGATGTGTCAAAGCACAAAACTCACCTCAAGGCTCGGGTTGATCGCCTCTAAGTGATAGGTGATGCCTGAGTGAAGTGAGGTGCAATGAGTAAATAAATAAATAAATAGTATGGAGATCATAAATTTATATAAATATAGTCATGAAATGTCAAAGCTTTAAAAACTAATACTGTAAAAATATCCAAATGTCAAAATTATCCAATAATAATCAAGTGATGAGTAAGTTTGATTTTTCCTATTTTTTTGGGCCTTTTATCGTGGGCTCTTATACTTAGTTCCATTGGTTATAATGCTAAGAAAGAAAAGGAAATAGCGTTAATTGAATCATGTGCGCGCCTTCAACCATGGGGAAGGTGACGCTGGGCAACCACAAGTTTAGTGTGGGGAGTGCTGGATTGAAGTCGTTTGCCCCAGCTGCTTACAAGGCCCAACGGCCTCAGGTTGCCTTGCCCTTAACCATAGGCGAGCACCTGGTTTGCCTCAAGAACACTAGTTTTTCCATCCATTTTGTCTATCTTTTGTTTGACATATTGTCAATTAATTAGTGCTAGTATGCTCGTTCAGTCTGCTTTACCTTCTATGTATTTTTATGTACGTTTTTAGTATTTTTTTTTTCTTCTGTCTTATTTGTTATTTTTGTTATTTGGGTGTACATTTAGGTAACGTTGATCTTGGAACTGCTTGTGGCAAGTATTACCGCGTCTCCTGCCTCAGCATCATTGACCCAGGTACTACAAATTTTATTATTTGGTTTATCGAATTTCATTTTTATGTTGTTATGACGGTCTCTAATTTTCAGTTCTTGAAGTTTGTATGAACTTTTAAACAAAAACTTGATAGGATGGCAGTTAGGTGTCCGGTCTTTAACTTGATACAAATTTTATTATGTGTGTGAATATTTCTGCGGACAAATGTTTGAGAGAACACATGCAGTTTGGTGTTGAGTTTTGAAATATATTAAATTTTTTTGTTATATGATTAATAAAAAAAAAAAAACTAGCTTTTATGGTCGAAGTTCAGAATGCTACACTTCGGAAGTTGGCACTAAATCAAAACATTTGTAAGTATAGATATAAAAGAGAAATAAGTAAAACTTTCAAGCTGCCTAATACTTGTTTTTTAATGATGGGTTTTACCAATTCTCCTGCTGCTATATTCTTTTCCAGGTGATTCGGATATTATCAAATCACTTCCAGGTGATCAGTGATTATTGTACCCCGTAGAACTTAGTTTCTTTTTTTTTTCTTTTTTTCTTATTTTTTGTCACACCTTTTCTCTTCAGCAAATGCTAGAATTTTGCATCGATTATAATGTCCTCAGAATAGCTTCCTACTTTCTGCATTAAAAAAATTTATGTTGATAACTTGATTTTGTCAATGTCCTTGAGGTTCTATTACTATATCTAAACAATTATGAATTCAGAATGTCTTTGCCTTCTGTATTAGCAAGGCATTTACGTGGAGTTAGAATCAAACATTTGATCAACTGCCTCTGAGGTTGGTTAATCTTAGGGTAAGCCTGAGAAGTTGTTTGACGTCATAGCTTGATGACATTTATTTCTCAACTAATAGTATGTTGATTTTCTATCCTGAAAATTTTGAATTCAATACGTTCTGAAACTTCGGGAGTGAATCAATCAATTTAGGTTTCCAAGGTCTCGTTACAAAAATGCATGATTTTTACATGTTTTTAAAACTTCTATGTTTGAATTCGCTGGGTTTGAGTGATTTTTTTTTTTCTTTTCTATCTTTCCTTGTTCTTTTAGATTTACCTAACAATTTTTCTTTGGATTGTGATGAATTCTTCGAAGATTAAAATATTATTTAGATGCTTCATTCTCCATTAACATTAATATTTGTAAGACACCGAACTAACTCCCTAGGATTGCTATATAATATGGTTCTGCAAGTTACACCTCATCTCTATTCATTTTCAATACTGACCATGAGCGGCAAGTGAAATTTGTGATTTGTTTATTCCTTAGTTGAGTCTCTTCTTATGCCTTTTTTTAGTTTTCTTTTTATTTTTTGAAAATGCTAAAAAAGAAATCCGAACAAGAAAAATCGCGGCACATATTAAAAATAACTGATTTCAAGTTGCGTGTCTCCTTGATAACCACCGCGGAAGAAACAACGCCATTTTATCTTTCACTCAAATTCAACCCGATATATATATATATATACATCCATATAATATAGAAAGAGAGATGTTGAAGAAGAGGCGGAGATCAAAGGCCGTTTCGAAGTTCTGGAAGCTCTCCACTGCCGCCAATGACTTCCACCGTCCATCCTCGCCGTCGTGTAAGCTTTTCCCCTTGTCTTCTAACTTTCTTTTCAATTGTTTTTGAGATATCACTCTGTCTACACACGAACTTGTTTCGAATTCCACTCTCCGTTTCGATTCATTCAAGATTTCTGCATAATTTGTATTCATCCCGCGATTTACTCCTTATTCTTCCACTACCAAATCGGATAATCATCATACAGATTCGAAAAGATTAAAAAAGAAGAAAAATCCTAACTGATCCACTGCTTCGTGTTGAATTTCGAGTATCTTCTTACTTTGGCCGCAGATGTCTCCCCTTTTATTCATCTCGCTTCGCTTTTTTCTGCGATCACCTTCTTTTTCAAATAAACAATCATTCGCTTAAAATCTTATTTTATTATCCTTTGGACAAGACAAAACTAGGAATTTAAAGTTCAACTTCCCCGTCGTCTAGATCTCCTTCAATGGAGGATGAATTTCAGGTTGCAGTTGGAAATTTGGTAATTAAAATTAATGGCAAGCATAAGGCGTTATGAATTGCGCGAGGGCGTGAGTTGTATTGTTTGTGCGACATTGAAGCAAATACGTGGTGCAATTTTGTAGCCCACGTACGCTTCCAAATGTTGAAAAACTAGCCTCAACTCTCTTTCGAAGTGTCCTGAGTACCAAAAATCCTCAAATTCCTGTTTATTGCATTTACTGTCCTTCCAATTCAATGACACATTTTTACTAAACTTATTTCACTCACTCCCCCCCTCTTTTGGGCTCGCATTTAAATTTTTTCAAGGGCTCCGTTTCTTCATATAAACCGGAGAGCCCTTCCCTTTGTTACTTTATATATATATATACCCCCATTTCTCCACTTCTTCAAAACACATCCCCATTCTTTCCATCATCCCTCCCCCTTCTCTCTCTCTGTTGATTGAAAATTTGAAATCCCCCATTTGAACAATTCCCTATGCAGAGCAATAAGGTATCCTCCCTTGTCCCTACAGATATCAACAGCGATGATTACATAGGCTTGGAGAGTTGTGTCGATTTAAAAGGCCACCACACGGCAGCCGACATAACTCCCCTAGCGAGCTTCCCCGAGGGAGGAAATAGCAAGAGAGACAACAAAACGTCGTGGATGGGGAGGAAAAATCAGAAAAACTATCCCCCACCAATCCCATTATTGGTTCGCACTGAGAATCTGGCTTCCCACATACCATGGGTGATGAAACGGCAGTACACAGGCGATGGACGGCTCATACTGACAGAGGAGAAAGTGAAACACCACGAGTTCTTCCGTGCCCACAGATCCGATGGACGCCTGATGCTGCAGCTTGTGACCATGGACGACCAGGAGTTGGATGAGGAGGGCGATGAGGAGGAGGAGGAGGAGGAGGAGGAGGAGTGCACGGAGGCGGGAGGGAGTGAAGGGGGGAAATGGTGCAAGTATGAGAATGTAAGGGACAGAGACACAGCGTTCATGTTCGGAGTGGAAGTGGCTGCAGGGAGCTTGAGGAGTGTTCGAGGGTAAGGAAATGTGTCAGCAGCAGCAGCAGCAGCGTAGAGAATAGGATTTTAGTTGAAGCGAAATGGTTATGGTGTGTTTGGGAGTTTTGGTCCGGTTTTTAGAGTGTTAGTTAGTTTGGTTCTCCTATAAAAATAAAGTAATAATAATATGAAGGGTAGAGAGATATCAATTTCCAAATTAAAGCCCCATTTTTTGGTTTTCTCCATCTCTGATCTGGGTGAAAGGGATGAGTCAATTCATCAGCATTGGGTACAGCTATCTATCTATCCATCCATCCATCCATCCCACCCAGATTGTCAGTCCTGCCCTATCATTGGCCTTATTAAAATCCATTGAACATTAAAAGAAATTTAATAAAGAATTAAAGAGTCAAACATATAGATTTTAATGATATGAGGTGGAAATGAGAGGAGATGAACGAAGTGTGAAGTATAACGAGGAAACAGACAGGAATAGAGGTGTGTCGCATAACCAGAAATATCTGCAGAGAGAAAGGAGATATTTATATAAATAAGATTACAACCGTTTCATTGGAAAGATAGCGGTGGGAAATTGAACCTCCTTTTCTCCCTTAATTAATGTCATAATTTTCGGAATGCCACCCAAATTCTGATTCGAGTGTTTTTAATTATTATTATTATTATTATTTCACTAAAATTAGTTAAAACATGATATTATGAAAAGAAAGATAAATAATTTAAGAAGGTTTAAATCTGATAAATGAGAAGTGGGCCCGGAAGATTGAGTTTGAATGCTGCATGGGAACAAAATATGAGTTGTGTACTGTACACTAAAACCCAACCGCATGCTTCGCTTTTTCACAACGTGTACACCTTCACCTTTTTTCTTTTTCTTTTTTCTTTTTAAAAAATAATAATAAAGGTTTTATTGTATTTTTAAGTTGTGTACTTGTTTTGCAAGCTTAAGATAATCGTTTCATCGTTCTTCGGCTTCCTTCTCCACGCATCCAGTTTTAGGTTCCCCACGCAATTGCCAATTCAAAAGCAAGGTCCAGTTGTCGAAGCAGTACGATTTTCTATTTCTGGACTCAAAGCCCTAATTTCTTCTAAAGAAGAATACAAGAAATGGAAGATCGCGTCATTCGCACTTTTGGAATCGGCATTATTAGGTCAAAGCTGTTGAATCCTTCTTCTTCTTCTTCGATTGGATCTTGTAATTTGTTAATGGACGATTTGATTGGGACTGAGACCGCCGTTTCCTTGACTTCGAATACAGAGGAAACCGAAGAGAAATTAACTCACGCCTATTTCGATCGTCCTCATAATTGCAACAATTTCCACGGTTTTACCGAGCTAAATCAGCGATGTGTGCCGAAAAAGCAGTTTCCACCGCCAATTCCTTCTCTAGCTACACAGGCAGGGCAACAAACCCGGTCGCCATGGATTTTAACAAGATATTACTCCGATAGAAGGTTGATTTTGAAACTGGAAAGAGTCGGGAATCATCAGTCCATGGAATCGCACCGCGAAAATGGCCGTCTGATTCTCAATCTCGTACCGTCACCAGTACCGGGCGTCCATAATCAGGATCTCCAGTTCATCGAAGAGGACGAAGGAAATGAGGAGATCGACTCGATTGAAAGCGAAGGAGGAGAAGATTGTACAGTTCCTGAAATTTCTTCCGAGAGTTTTACATACGGCGGCGATGGCGTCGACAGCGGAGTGTTTTGTGATCGGAAACTGTTTTGTGGTGTAAATGGGAATTTAGAAGAACGACATGTCGTCCACGGACATTTTGACTCGACTCCTCTTCGTCCGATAGGTACAGTTATGTGATTTAGTAAAAGATGAGCGTGCAGATTTTTTGAAGTCTTTTTTCGACGTTTTTCTTTTTCTTTTAATTTTCAGTTTAACCAATAGAAATATTTCGGCTTTTAATTATTTTTTTTTAGCTAATTTTATTTTCAATTTAGTTTCTTGTATACATTTTTTCTTTTTCTCTTTTTTTAATTTCCTCTCCATTAGAAAATGTTAGAACTGCTTGTTAAACTCAATATTATTCTCTGATTACCATAATTATTCACCCACCAAAATAAATGGACGCAATTGACAAAATATAAAAATAAAAAATGTAATTTAACCTAATTTTGTATTACACCAATTTACATTATTATCATTAATCACTTTCTAAATATAAATTAAAAGAACAAAAGAATTATATGTTTTCGAGGTTATCTTTGGGCCTAATGGGCCTGCCAAAATAACACTGCAGTGGTATCCCTGAGCCCAATAAGCCCACAAATGAAATGAAGTGTTGAAGGCAATCTAGCCCGTTTGTGACTCCCCATCCATGGGCTAGGCCCACTAAGAAGATGGGAGAAAAGTGACATGGTTTCATTGCTTTCTCTTGGAAGGTATTTCATTTACTGTACAGAAAAAAGATTACATTTAAATATAAGAGAAGATCTATACTTAGATAATACTCTCTACCCACTGGTGAATGAATAGTTGCAGAAGCTTTCTTCTTATTTACACAAAACTGTTGCATTTTTCACTTGTGCAGATGACTCTACACGCTCGTAGCGGTTCGGTCCCTGGAGACAGTATTGTCTGTTGACATCGCTCTTGGAGCTATGATGCAGAAGGTCAAAGATGAGGCCTTTGTTGTCATATTTGACCTGAAATATAATTTCAACTTGTTAAAGAGACCACTCTAGGAAGCCAAGAAGCTATGAAGGAGAATGCTCCCCCTGGGATGACCACGAGGGTCGATTATTGGCGTTTAGAAGTTTCCTGGATGCTCGGACGTTCTTGATAGTCATCATGAGCTTCTGTCTCTCCCCTTCAACCTCTGCAAACTGAAGGCTTAATTGTGAGTAACGGTCATGCATCTCTCTCAGTTCAGTCTCTACAGTTGTGTACTTTCCCTTTAGATCTAACATGTCTTTGATTAGCTCGTTGATGTCGTTAAAGCTTCGGAATATCGCTTCTTCGTCGCTGTGTTGCTTCAAGAAAGAGCTGGACAACAGACCAAAAATTTTGTTGAAACCAAGAATAGTTCAACTTCAAACAATCTAAACAATTGGCCATGGGTGTACTGGATGATGTACCTTTGAAAATGCGTGCTTGGTTTCTTTTTTGCCTGCAACGCTTCAGCAAGCTCAATCTCTAAAGCTAGTACCCTTTCTAATGAATTGCCACTGCTCGAAAATTCCTTGAACAAGGGGAATATGCTTCCTAGTTCTTCATTCACCTGAAAAAATGAAGCACACGTGTTAACGTGTTGATTACACATCGGAAGTCTATAAATTTATGGATTACCTTGTGTAACTGCATCAGTTGATGTTCTAAACCAGGAAACTCGGATTGAGAAGGACGATCATCGTGCGCAAGCGAGTTTTCGTTTTTCAATCTTTCCAACTGCAAGCAGAATGCAAGAGATGAATATAACAACATCCGAAAATGAACGTGTTTGAGTTCATATCTCAGTTTCTTCCTACTCACAGTCCAGGTGCAATTAAACTAAGTATGATACGATAAGTCGAACGGAGAATCATCGATTTTCTTTCTCCAATATGGCTTACTAACCTCCTCATTTAGATGGTCCATGCTAAATTTCAAGCTTTGAACTCTGAAGTTATCATTTACCAGACCCAAATGCTTCGTCTCCTCATGTCGCGAGTCCTCTTGATTCTCAGGAGAGATATCTTGAAGTTCATCAACACTTCTTGACACCAGAACATCCTGCCATTGACACGAAAATTAGAGTGGTGGTAAGAGTTGCATAATAACAGTCATTTCAGATAATCAGTTTATGTCGAGAAACAAAGCAAAGTACGGTCGATTCGACAATGACATCATATACCTGCTCGGGTTGCCCTTGACCATTAGGAAAAGCATGTGAATTATTGGTCTCATTAGCTGAATAATCTTGGTCTGTGCATTTTCCATCACTGCCTTCCTTGTGCAGGCTTGTCTGAAACTTGTAACTCTCCAGTAAATCTTTCATCAAGTTCAGTTCCATTGAAAAATTTAGTTTATCATCATTACATTTCTTTAAAGAAGCTTCAAGTTCTTGTTTTTCTTCCTTGCAGCATTCAAGACTGATAGCAGAGCATTCTTTTTCGGCCTTCATCAAATCATACGCCTTCTCGACTTCCCGCTTTTTGGAGAGAGCTTCATTCAAGTAACCTTCCAACTCCAAGATCTTCTTTCCCAGTTCTTCATTTCTTTTTATATGAGAAACTTCAGATTTTTTCCTATTTTCAACTTCATTGATTGCATCTTGTAATTTCCACAGAATTTCCTCACTGTGTTTCTTGGACACAGAGAGCTGATGCTTCAATTCCTGCACCTTTGTTTCATATTGTTCTTTAATAAACGCAATTCTGAGAGACTCTTGCATGGCGTTCGACGGTCCGTCGTTTTCTTTCTTTTCACGAAGTTGGAGGCACTCCGCATCGGCCTTGTCTTTCATCTCCTTCAAGTGAGTAGACAGGTTTTTGAACTCTTCAGTTTTCAATATTTGTTCAGAAAGCTTCTGGGTTAGATCATTACACTTATTTTGCAAGATTACCATCTGATCGCTCATGCCTTGGAGCAAGATCACATGAGCATGCTGTTCATCCAATTTCGACCGGACAACCAACAAACTTACTTCCAATTCTTCCTTACAAAGCAACAAATCATCAATCTTTGTTTCACAAGTCCTCAACATTTTCCCCAGTTTTTCAATCTCTTGAGCATGATTACTTCTATCAGCATCAGCTGTAACCTCCAAAAGTTTTGCCCGATTTCGTAATTCCTTGGACTGAGCTGTTAGTTTTTCGTTTCCATCGAGAAGCGTTTTGTTTTCCGAAGCAAAGGCATCCAACTCTGTTTTTAGGGAGTGGAGATTCATCGACAATCTAGCATTCTCTTCAGCTTGGAGTGCTTCATTGACCATACAATGATTAAGAGCAGTCTCTACACTGAGATACTTATCCTTAAGAGCAAAAAGGTCTCTTTCTGATAACAGATATTTCTGGGAAAGAATTTCAAGCTGTTCATGATACTGAGATCTTGTGAAAACTAAGCTAATATCTGCAGCTATTGAAAATTCATGCATTTCAGACAGTTGACTTTCCAAACAAACCAAGGAAGAATTCTCTTGGTCAAGATGCTTAAGAAGTTCCTCGGACTGTAGTAAATGTTTGTCAACTCTTGATTTCTCCGACTCGAGCTCTAATATCGATTGCTTGAGACTTCCAACTTCGGACTTCATTTTCTCGAAATCTAGCAACTTGTAACTCTTCTCGTTTAGTTGCTCATCAAGATCTTTAATTCTTTTGTCTAAACTATCTCTGAAACTTTTCTCGATCGTTAATTCATCAGACAATGATTTCGATTCATCTTTTGAACGATCCATCTCCAACTTAAGCTTCATTGATGACTCAAGTAGAGCTTTTTTCTCCTTTGTTAACACCTCGACGGTTAACTTACAACTTCCGAGTTCTTCATCTACCGACCTCAGTGCCAGCAGTTCATTTTCAAGGCCATTGTTTTTAGATATTAGTTGTTGCAGTTCATCCTCCACACGATCGAGAACAGACAGAAGTTCTTTATGCTGCTCGGTAAATTTATCTCCAGCTTCACTTCTGTTGATATTTTCAGAAACAGATTCGATTGCAACGTGCAACATTTCAATCAGTTCATTGGCCTTATCAAATCTGTTGATCATATCTAGTTTTGTACGTTCGAAATTCTCTTTCATGATCAGATTCTCTGATGCTGCTCTGCTTAAGGAGTTTCGAGCCGTATCTCTTTCTTCCATCAAATGTTTGTTCTCATTCATGAGCTGAAGAACTTTCTTGCATGCATCAAGATGGAGATTTTCAAATTGCAAGACCAAGCCTGCTAAGCTGTTTGGCTCCAAGTTTTCATAAACAGATTCACTTGAGGAAAAGAGATCGTTCGAATTTTTGTTATGGGAAGCCAACAAATTATTCAATTTATCATAAGAAAAATCAACAGTATTACGCAGATCCGCCCTCACCGAAACCAGGCAGTCAAATTCAGCTCGAAGAGCTTTCAATTCTTCATGCAAAGACGAAACCTCATTACGAAGATTTTTGTTTTCAATGCTTTCCTCCATCATGGAATTTTCTAGCTCTAACTTCTCCAAAAGACAGGATTGATACTTCTCCTCAAAACTTCTATATTCTGTCACTAACGCTTCACATTCTGTTATTTTCTTGGTAAGAACGGAATTTTCACGAGTAACATTCAATAAATTTTCTTCTAAAGTTTCAGTTTTCGATCCCATTTTGTTGTACTTCGAAACAATTGCAGTCTTATATTCCTTTAGAGATCGGATTTCTTCCGATGAAGCTTGCAGTTCAAGAAACAATAATTCCTTGGACTTGGTTGATAGTTCCAGCTGCTGACTGATCTCATCCATTCTCTCTTTCATAAGTTTGAAACCAGTATTTGCTTCAAGCAAAGTTTCTTGCAGCGTCTTCGAAAATACGTCCAGGTATATGTTAACCAAATGCACTTCAAAGACTTCATCTTCAACCTTTTGATACAACCCTTCCTGCAAGTAGAGAGATCTTTTCAAATCCTCAGAGAAAATACCTCCACTTAAATGATATTTCTTTACCCCTGCTTCATGATTTTGACACGGCAAGAGTTTGTCATTAGAAAATTCCTCCAATTCGATTTTCGGGCTCCAACCTATTTCAGAGAATTCCCGACTGCTTGGAAGTAAAGAACCAGTAACTGCATGCTTAATGAGGTTCTCATTAGTCTCAAACATGGACATGACCTGGCCAGATAGTAGATCAAGGTCCTTCTGTAGCTGGTTTGCGGCAATCGAGTAATTTAAGCGTGCCCTTTTCATAGCTGTCTCGGCACAAGTAGCCCTCCTTTCAAGTTCCTTATTGATGGAATCCAAACTCTTCTTCTCTTCAGCAAACTTCATTAACTGGGTACTCATTTCGTGATGCAGTGCTTCGATCTCATCCTTCGAAGCCGTGATAGTATATATACATGTTGCATGCTCATTTCTGAGATTCTGCAGCTCTCCAATCATCTGTCTCTGATTTTCCTCAAGTTCATGAATAAAAGCTTCATAGTAGCATTCCATCTGGTCCATTTTCTGTGCAAGACTCACCTGTTTTGCTTTTGACTCGTCCAACTCCCTTAGAAGTTCAAAAATTTTCCCTTTCATTGAACTGAAGGCGTCTATAGAATTGGGTTCGTAGGACATCAGACCTGGTATAAGACAATGAAGCATGTTATCAGTATGGTAAATGTCTGAATCGAACCCAGTTCCCGATGCTAATATCTGACTAGTTTGGGAGTTCAATTTACTGATCTCATTTTGGTTCGCTTTGACACTTGAAATTTCCTGTTCCATTCGTTCTCTGAAATCTTGTAGAAAGCAGAGTAAGGCCTCCAAGTCAGCTAGAAGAAACCGAACGTCTCTATCTTGACATCCAAAGTGAACCTTGTTTAGCAGATCTCTAATCTTTTCCTCCATTGTTAAGAGTCCCTTTAAATATTGTGGCTCCAACTTTTGACGGACGTTGTCCTGGTCGGTCTCTATGATTTCTTTTCTAGATTCTGATAGACTTGATTGCAAATTTTTTAATCTCTCAAGCTCATCTCTAAATTTTAAACACTCGGATTTCAATACTGAAACTTCTTCTGTCAGTTCTTTACCTGAAGCAGCCTCAGTAGCAAGCTGCCAAGCAATTTTCTGCGTTTCGACACCCATTTCATCAACATGACTTTGCAAAGAGCTTACCTCTAGCTTCAGCCCAGCAATTGAGGACTCGGCTACTTCCAAGCTTTCTCTAAGTCTGTTGTTTTCTGTATATGCCGTAGCCAGTTCACCATCAGCAGCAAAGTCAGAACCCCAGTTATGAGCCCAATTATTGGACCCCTGCACTGAATATTGGTGATCAACCTGGTATCCTTTCTCTGACCCAGGACTTTGGCCAATAGAAAGTCCACCTAGATCACCAGATACTGTGCTCTTTATGCTGTCAACTTCATGCACATCATGTTTCTCAGCATATAAACTTTCTGAAGTATTGGAAGAGACGTCAAAGCCAGTTGCTGAATCTGCATACTCTTCTTTTTGCCCAACCTCATCTTCAAGTAAAGGGAGTTCATTACATACTTCTTTGGACCTGATTCTTGCATTGACCTATATCAGCCGAGGTGGAAGCAGGATGGGAGGCACAGGGGAGAAAAGTTTTTGTAAGTAGCAGAACAATTTCACTGAAATTTGAAATATACATACAGGCAAGCCCAAGCTAAAGGAGAAGAATACAAAAAAAACAGGAGATGAGAAAAGTTCTTTGGCCTCCCTCAACTTATTCCTTTTACGCAATTTCTATCTCTTAATAGTGATGTACGAGCAGCAAACGTCATCTAATGAAAGATAGCCAACAAGTCCTTTTTCAGTTTATTAAATGTTATATTTCCATCATTCTTCAGTTCGACAGTTGGGGTTGTTCTTCCTATAAACCGATTTAATATCATAAGGATCTCTTTGAAATATCCCAAGTACAAATATTTTTGTAGTTAACCCCAGAAGATAATAACTACAAAAAACCATAGGCCATGATTTTATATTCCAAAACAACATAATTAAGTAAACAAATGATAAGAAAACCTTATTTGAATGATTATTCACTGAATCATCGGTTAGTGACACTTTTCCACTAGGAGATTCACCATGACTATTTTGATCGGAGAATGTCTGCAGCCCCCTCTCTCTGAGCTCCCTTTGCTGCTCAAACTCCCTAAAAAGAATGATATAAATGTTAACAGGATATAGGACAGATTATGAAAGTTTCATTTTTAAGTAGTACCTGAAACCAGTTTTAGAAGTAAGCAGCTGTACAGTAACCTGCCATTGAACATAATTGAACAATATGTTACAGTTGAACTATAAATTAGGCCGACGCAAATATGGAAAACTAATGAGAAAGAGATAGAATATCGATGAGAGCTTTGAGCTCTATGTTAGGAATGTCGAGCCTTTCCAAATTCTTACATGTAAAATAGTTCCAGATTCACATCCATTAAGAGGCAAATCAACAGCTGAAGGCTTCAACGCATCAGCATAGTCAGCAAGATTGATGTTAGCCTCCCCAAGGATGCTTGAACGAGATGAGCCCTAGAATTATTGGGATTTGGCCCAAAAATAGGTTAGAGAACTTGTTTAGAAACTGCTAGAGAAGTTTAAAAACAAATTGAGAAGAGAAAATGAAAAAGAATTGATAGGAATACTACCATGGCCACCACGAGTTTATAGAGCTTATCATCATATTTCTTTGTTCTAGTGTCTTGAAGAAGTCTAGCTGTTTCATAGATAGGATCAGCCCATTTGCAAGCTCCATTTCTCACGTTTGCTTTAGTTGTCTTTGCTGTTGCCTTCCCAGAATCAGCAGGAAAAAAAGATATAAACAGTTTGTCCCATCCCAATTGTGGAATCTGGATCGAGCAGGAGACAACAAGATTCAGTCGTTGCATAAAAAGATTGTTTGCATTTTCCGTATGCAAAACCCATGTCAAAATAAAAGAAGTACAATGAAGAAAGAAAGAGAAGTAAAAGAGATTTCAAATGAACGAGTTTAAGCTTCAGTGACTTGGAGAATCATACCGGAAATGCAGGGTTTTTTTTCTTTTTTTTTTTTGTTTGTTCTTGGAACAAGAAACGAACTACTGGAAATGTAGGCATAAAACCAAATAATGCAATGAACTTCAGGAATCTATATTCTTAACAAATACCCGCATGCCTACCACTAGAGTCTGAAAGGATTGTTGGGAGGGAGTTCCACATTGGCTAACTAAGAGGATGATCGTGGGTTTATAAGTAAGGAATACATCTACACTGGTATGAGGCATTTTGGGAAAAACAAAAAACAAAGCCATGAAAGTTTATGTTTAAAGTGAACAATATCATACCATTGTGGAGGTTGTGGGTTCTAACATGGTATCAAAATTATGCCTTTAACTTAGTCATGTCGATAGAATCCTCAAATGTCGAACAAAGAAGTTGTGAACCTCGAACGTATAGTCAAAAGTGACTCTCAAGTATCGAACAAAGAGTATACTTGGTTCGAAGACTCCAAAGAAGGAGTTGAGCCTCAATTAAGGTGAGGCTGTGCGAGAGCTCCATAGGCCTCAAGGGAGGCTATATGGTGTACTTTGTTCAAGGGGAGGATTGTTGAGGATTCTTGGGAGGGAGTCCCACGTTGACTAATTAAGAGGATGATCATAAGTTTATAAGTAAGGAATACATCTCCGTTGGTATGAGAACTTTTGGGGAAACCAAAAGCAAAGCCATGAGAGTTTATGCTCAAAGTGGACAACATCATACCATTGTGGAGGTCGTGGTTTCTAACAATATCATCTCGCGAATCACCACATACCTGAAAAACATGTTGTCTTTTGTTTTTTCCATAAACATATAACACAATTTTACTTGGTCATACCTACTCTACAAGAGCTGAGCTCCTAAAGATTAGTTCATACGCATGATTGGCATCACTAATTGAAAATCGAATATTAGCCTCCTCATTCTTTTATATTTTATATGTTTCGTCTATACATGAGAAATATGTTTGGTCTCGTCGTGACGCACACAATATTAAAATAGAAAGCACGGGAGACCTAGAAAGGAAAGAAAAGTAAATATGGACGATGTCCGCTAATGAAATAGGTTGACTTACATGTGTGGCATAAAATTGAAGCCTGAAGACCACCTTTACTTTTGTCTTCTCAAGCTTCCACTTAGCAATCCTTGACATTTCTATGTAATATCGCAATCATCCACTGCACAAGATTCCATTTCAACAATAGCTTAGTCTTATTCTTTCTGACATAAGTATAAAATTTAATTTGAATAAAACTAAATTCTCAATGTTGTTAAATCCCAGAAATTAGTGATTTTCTGTGAACTAATTAGGAAAGTTATGACATTGTTATCTTCATAAGCAGCGTTTTGGAATTAACATAATACATGAGGAAAACTCTCAATGTCTGCAAGAGGCTTGAATCATCATCACTTTCAAGGAGCAATATTTAACATTCTGAACATGGGGAAGGAAAGTGACAATTTAAAATTCAACAAGGCAGAACAACTCATTGGATAAGCTGTCAAAAGCCTAAGGTACTAAATAATGTAGGCAATGTTGAGGATTGTTGGTGGAGTCCCACATCGGCTAATTAAGGGGATGATCATGGGGTTATAAGTAAGGAATACATCTTCATTGTTATGAGACCTTTTGAGGAAACCAAAATCAAAGCCATGAGAGTTTATGCTCAAAGTGGACAAATATCATACCACTGTGGAGGGTCGTGATTCCTAACATGGTATTAGAGTCATGTTCTTAACTTAGCCATGTCAATAAAATTCTCAAATGTTGAACAAAGAAGTTGTGAGCCTCGAAGGTGTAGTCAAAGAGTGACTAAAGTGTCGAACAAATAGTGTACTTTGTTTGAGGACTCCAGAGAAAGGAGTCGCATCTCAATTAAGGGGAGGTTGTTCGAGGGCTCCATAGGCCTCAAGGGAGGCTCTATGGTATACTTTGTTTGAGGGGAGGATTGTTGGTGGAAGGAGTCCCACATATTGTATATGGGGCAATATCATAGTGGACAATATCATACCAGTGTAAAGGGTCGTGATTCCTAACATGCAATACATTAGTTTTCCATCACCACTATCAAATCAAGGGGCTTGTCAGCTTATATATATATATAATTTGAGCAGTTTGAGCAGAAAAAACAGCAGGTCCACTGATACAACTTAAACGTTGAAGTCCAGAAAAGAATGTGCATTCAGAAAGGGATTGGAAGTACATGCAGAGGAGACTCAAGAAATTGGATAATGCTGAACAACATAACTCGTCAATATAGATAAATTCAAACTTATTTGATGAAAATTATCAATCCCAATGCACATAATCACATTCTTCGGTGAACAATTCCAGCAGGGAGACTAGATACCTAAACTGGAAATTGAAATTTACAGGAGGACTGTTTGTAGATTACATCAAAAGGTCAAACCAACAACATTGAGAACAGCGGTGGAAGAAATTAGATGACAACAACGTTATTAGGTTAGGGAGAAACAAGCACACAAAAAACAGAACATCCGAACTTTAAAAGAAAAACTTAACCCAGAAAGGGAGAAAAACACTAGAGATTCAGCTCAATCATCTTCAACCCAGATTACATGTTGTTTCTAAAACACAATTCAATTGCTCTCCCGATGGACTTGAGTTCAATGGCTACTGGGAGGATTGGACCGTTAATCAGGAATTAAAAAGGTAAAACAAGAAGAAAAAAAAAAATAAAAGAAAGGGGAAGGGGAAAAGCGAAAGATTACAGAAACAGGATGACAATTCTAACACATACCTTCTTGGAGGAGACACAAATTTGTCAGAAACGCCAAATTTTACGAACAAAATTCAAAACACCCAGTAGAAAACCCCCGGATCGGACAAGGCCTTGATCTTGAAAACTGCCCCATTCAAAAAAATGCCGCTCGGGCACTGAAACCCAGAACAAGAAGACTGACAAGAACAGAGGGAAAAACAGATTCCCAAACCATCTGTCCAACCAAATCTGGAAAAAGAAAAAGGAAAATGCACTGTAAGTAACAAGAGAGAGTTTATACTCAATAGAGGCTAAAGGAAACACTTCATTTCTCTTCAATGAAACGTCACCAGAAACCCCACCAGAAGGAGAAGACCCAGATGCCAAAAATTCCAACACGAAATGTTAGAAAATTACAGAGTGGAGAAAACGCCAAATGCAGAAAAATAGGTAACACGAATAGGATTAAATACTGATTAGTTAACATTATTATCACATTTGGAAATTTAAATTAATTGGGGTTAGTAAGGAAATGTTCATGGATACCTCGACTAAGCTGCGGATCTGCAAGTGCTTCGGTTGGAAGAAAGAACAGGGAATCTTCAGTGTCGCAGAAGAAAGAGAGAAATTGGGGTCCTCCTATGCTTGGAGTTGCCTCTCAGTGTTCGTCAGGAGAAGAAAAATGGAGAAAGGGATCGCGACGGCGGCGGTGGTGGCGTAGATGAGCAGTAAAAAGAATGTAAAAGTGGAATTAAAAGCCATTAATAAGGTGAGAAGGAGCTAAGATTTCAGCTAAAAAATCAGCCTCAGGAACCCGCCAAATCCCTGTGATTGCCTGTCCTCCAATTAGTTATTTTCATAATCACCCTTTTCCATTTCCTTCATTTACGGATATGCCCTTCTATTTTCACTTAATTCCTCTCATTGCCCTTTATTTTTAAGTCTTTCTAATAATACCTCTAGTTTTAAATATTAATTTTTCTATTCAGAAAACTTTTACATGTCTATGCTATATTGTGATTTTAAAAATTAATATATTAAAAAAATAGTAAAATAATAGGTATTATTAAATACCAAATTACCTACTTACCCTTCTATTTTAATGTAATTAGTTTTGTTTTATTAATTAAAGTCAAAACAAACAAACTTCCAATTAATGTTATTTTTTATTTAAACTTTCCCTCTCATTTTAAGTTACTAACAACCATCCTTCTATTGTAGCCTTCTACCTACAAATTTACTCCTTTTTTTTTTTTTTTACCTATTAAATAGTTTATTTTTTTAAAAAATATTATAAATATACTAAATACAAAATTAAAAAATTAGAATTTTATAAGACATAAATTCATATAAATAATAATTGTAAGGTTATTAAATAATAATTGGGTGATATTTTCATGATAGCATTTTTGAATAAATTTTATTTCAAAACAAAAGGCAAAGAAAAGGATAATTCCTTTTGGAAAAAAAAAAAAAAAAACATGATGAGTTGGATGAAAATTAGAGGAACGGAGCCAAAAGCATAATTCCTTTTTATACCATCTTTTTTGAAAAATAATCTAATCCTATGATTTAGATTAATTAGGTGGAAGGTTATTGTGAGTGAGTCGCATCTGGGTTAATTTAGTGGAAGATCTCATAGGTTTATAATGGAGAAATACTGTCTTCATTGATATAAAGTCATGAGAACTTACTTTAAAGTGGACAATATACCTAAAACGAAGTTATAAGAGCTTATGTTCAAAGTGGATAATAGAAAGAGTCGTAAAATCAAATCCAAATTGAGTATGAAATGTTTTGAAATAATGTCGAATTTATAATAATAAAGTAAAAGGAATTGAAATTAAATATTAAAAATGCAATATTTATGTGAGAGTTGGTGGAGAATTGAATGCAGGCAAAGGAGCGGAGCAGAGTTTTGGTATATAATTGATTGCACCAAAATGGGACGCACCATGGGTCCCACCTGCACATGGCCTCCCCTATGCGATGTCGTTTCGTTTCTCCAATCACGATTTTTCTTTTTTCTTTTTTCTTTTTGTAATTATATAATGAGTGAAATCAATATCTTTTCTCACGTGATCTCACGTGCACTCCGCGCTTGTCACGACACAGAATGTCCACATTTCTCTATTACTTTTTAAAAAAATATATAAAATTATGTTATAAACATTTTTCAATTTTGATTGAATTAAAAAATATATAATAAATTATGATATTACAAAATAATAATTAATTGATATCATTTACTCACATTAGAAAAATAGTTAGAACGTGAAATGTAACTTTATGTAATCCATTATTATTATTATTATTATTATTTTAAATATGATTAACGAAACTTAACCCATGATTAGCCACGTATATAATTTGGAGGGGAAACAGGAAATGTCCACATCATCATAATTTCTTTTCTATTTGGTGGGGGAGCATAGGAGGTGGGGCCCATTTCTTGCATTTTTTCTATATTTTACACCATTTTTCTTAATGAAAACTTTCCATTCACGTTATCTATTTATAATTAAATATTAATAATATTTTGTAAAGGATTGAATCATAACAAAAAGTAGAGTAAATGGTTACTCTTAACTTGTATAATCGACAATGGGAAGAATGTTAAACCATAGGTTAATTATTGGGATACATTAACCAGTTTCAGGAACTAGATACAGCTTTTGACCTTCATCAACCATATGGATATCAAGAATTTTACCTCCATCTTCTGATAATATACAGCATTCACCTGAAACTAGAAGCTGATCTGAAGATACTTTGATGAGCTCTTCAATGGTGAATGGAACCCATAGGACGATTCCAGGCTTTCTATTTTCTTCAGGATCCCATGGGTGGAAGGGGAACACTGTACATTTCTTCGAGTATTTTCTGCCTGTTCAAAAAAAAAAAAAAAAAAAAAAAACC